TCTTATCTTTTTGATAATAAACATCCTAACAGGTGTAAGGTGATACCTCACTGTGGTTTTGATTAACATTTCCCTGATTAGTGATTATGAACACTTTTTCATGTACCTGTTGGGTATTTGTCTTCTTTGGAAAAATGTCTACTCAGGTCCCTTGTTCATTTATTATTGGGACTACTTGGGGTTTTTTTTCTATTGAGTTTTTATACTTTGGAAATTAACCCCTTATCAGATATGTGGTTTACAAAAATTTTCTCCCATTCTGTAAGTTGCCTTACATTTTGTTGATTGTTTCTTTTGCTGTCCTGAACATTTTAGTTTGAGTATTCACACTTGTTTATTTTTGCTTTTATGGCCTGTGCTTTTGATATCGTATCTAAAAATTATTTTCCAACACCAAATCAAGGCACTTGAAAAAAGCAAGGAATTATTCCCCTACATTTTCTTCTGGTTGTTTTATATTTTGAGGTCTTCCTTTTAAGTCTTTATTCCATTTAGAGGGTTTTTTTTGTGTGTGTGCGTCATGTAAGGGTCCAGTTTTACTTTTTTTGCATGTGGATACCCAGTTTTCCTGGCACAATAGGAAGACTATCTTCTTCCTATTGTGTATTTTGGCTCCCTTGTCAAAGGTTACTTGATCATACATGTGTGGGTTTATTTCTGGGCTCTCTGTTCTGTTCCATAGCTGTGTGTGTTGGTTTTCATGCCAGTACCACACTCTTTGATTACTGTCGCTTTATAATAGAGTTCAAAATCAGGAAATATGATGTCTCCAGCTTTGTTCTTCTCTATCAATATTGATTTGACTATTTGAGGTCTTTTGTGTTTCCACAGAAATTTTAGAATTGTTTTTTCTAATTCTGTAAAAACTGCCATTTGAATTTTGTTAGGGATTGCATGGAATCTGTAGATTACTTGGATAGAATGGATAGTTTAATAATATTAACTCTTCCTATCTCAGAAAATATAATGTCTTTCCGTTTATGTGTGTCTTCTTTAACCTCTTTCATCAATGTCTTACAGTTTTCAGTGTAAAGGTCTTTCATTTCCCTGGTTCAGTTTTTTCCTAAGGACTTTGCTTGGTGGTGGTACTATTGTAAATGGCATGGCTGCTTGAATTTCTCTTTCAGGTAGTTTCTTGTTAAGGCATTGGAATGCAACTGACTTTGTATGCTGATTTTATGTCCTCTAACTGGAATTGTTTATTCTAACAGTTTTGGGGACTCTTTAGGGTTTACTATGTATATGAGATCATGTCATCTACAAATAGAGACAATTATACTTTTCTGTCTTTTATTGCTTTTTCTTTCCTAATTTCTCTGGCTAGTACTTCCAGTATGATGTTGAATAGCAGTGGTGAGATTGGGCATCCCTGCCTTGTTCGTGATTTTAGAGAAACTATTGAGCATGATACGCTGAGGGCTTGTCATATGTGGCTTTTATTCCTTCTATAGCAATTTTGTGAAAGATTTTCTTATGAAATGATGTTGAATTCTGTCCGGTGCTTTTCTTGCCTTTTCTGAGATGATCATATGATTTTTGCCCCTCATTTTGTTAATGTGGTGTGCTATACATCTTGATCTGAGCATGTTAAACCATCTTTGCCTCCCAGGGATATGACCCATTTGGCCACAGTGTATGAACTTTTTAATGTGCTGTTGAGTTCAGTTTGCTAATATTTTGCCAAAAATGTTTACCTCTATATTCATCAGGGCTATTGGCTTATAATTTTCTTTTCTTAAAGTGTCCTTGTCTGGCTTTGTTATAAGGGTAACTGGGGCCTTTTCAAATAAGTTTAGAAGTGTTCTTGCCTCTTCTATTATTTGGGAGAGTTTCACAAAGATGGTGTTAATTTTTCTTTAAAGATATAGTAAAATACACTAGTGAAGTCATCTGGTATTGGACCTCTCTTTCCTGCTATTCTATTCAGCTTTTCCATTTCTTCAAAATTCAGTATTGGTAGATTATAAGTTTCTAGGAATTTACCCATTTCTTCTAGGTTTTCCAATTTGTTGACATAATTGTTCACAAGAATTTCTTATGAACTTTTGTATCTCTGTGACAGCGGTTGTAATGTCTCTTGTCATTACTAATTGTATTTGAATCCTCTCTCTTTTTCCTTAATGAGTCTGGCTAAAGGTCTGTCAATTGTTTATCTTTCAAAAAATGATCCTCAGTTTCATTGATCTTTTCTATTGTTTTTCAAGTTTCTTTTATTCACGTCTGACCTGATCTTTGTCATTTCCTTACTTCCGCTAACTTTGGACTTGGTTTGTTCTTTTCTTTCTATGTCCTTGAGGTATAAAGATAGGGGTTTTTTAAAGATTTTTTTTCTTTTTTCTTAACGTACACATTTATCACTATACACTTCTCCCTTAGAACTTCTTTGGCTGTTTTCCATATGTTTTGGTATGTTGCATTTCCATTTTTGTTTTTTCTTTTAATATAGTTTTTTATTTCTCTTTTGATTTCATCTTTGACCTATTGGTTGTTCAAGGGAGTGTTGTTTAATTTCTACATATTTGTGAATTTTCCAGCTTCACTCCTGTTAATTAATGATTTATGGTTTAATACCATTATAGTCAGAAAAGATACTTGCTGTGATTTCAATCTTCTTAAAATTTTAAAGACCTGTTTTTTAGCCTAATATATGATTTATCCTGGAGAAAGTTCCATGTGTACTTGAGAAGAACATGTATTCTGCTACTGTTAGATGGAATGGTCTGTATACATCAGTTAGGTTCATTTGTAGTTCTAGTCCAATGTTGCCTTACTGATATTCTGAATGTGTGATCTACCCACTGTTAAAAGTGGGGTACTGAAGTCCCCTACTATTGTTACATTGCTCTCTATTTCTCACTTCAGATCTGTTAATATTTGCTTAATATATTTAGACACTCTGATTTTGGGTACATATATTTACAAGTGTTATATCCTTGGGATGAATTAACTTTTGTATTACTGTGTAATTACCTTATTTGTCACTTGTTACAGTTTTTTACTTACAGTTATGTGTATTTTGTCTGACATAAGTATAGCTACCTCTGTACTCTTTTGGTTTCCATTTGCATGGAATATCTTTTCCTGTCCCTTCACTTTCAGCCTTATTGTATCCTTAAAGCCTCAGTGAGTCTCTTATAGGCAACACATACTTGGGTCTTGTCATTTTAACCCATTCAGCCACTCCATGTATTTTGATTGGGGAATATAATTATTTCCATGTAAAGTAATTATTAATAGGTAGAGTTACTATTGCCATCTTGTTCATTATCTTCTGGCTATTTTATAGTTTCTTTGGTACTTTCTTCTTGTTTGCTTCATTCCTTTCATATTTGATTATCCCTAGTAGTATGCTTTGTTTACTTTACCTTTTCTGTATGTACTCTAGGTGTTCCTTTGTGGTTACTGTGACTTACATAAGATGCCCTAGGGTTATTCTAAGTTGATAAAAGGTTAACTTTACATGAACACAAAAACTCTACCCTCAACTTTCTCTCCCAACATTTTGTTTTAGATATAAAAAATTATATATTTTTATATTGTTTACCCATTGGAAAATTGTAAGTAGTTATTTTTAATATTTTGTCCTTTAATTTTTATTCTAGAGTTGTTAGAATATTACAACATCGTGAGTTTAACTATATATCTATCTTTACCAGTAAGTTTTATAATTTTGTATTTTTCATGTTATTAATTAATGAACTTCCATTTCAGCTTCAAGAACTCTCTTTAGCACTTCTTTTAAAGGAAGTCTAGTGGTTATAAACTCCCTCAACTTTTGCCTGTGTGGGAAAGTCTCTATGTCTCCTTAATTTCTAAAGGATAGCTTTTCTGAGTAAAGTATTCTTGGTTGGCAGTTTTTTTTCCTTTGAGCATTTTTAACTCTCTCTCATGGCCTACAGGGTTTCTGTTGGGAATCTGTTGATAGTCTTATGGTTGTTCCCTTATATGAAATGTGCTTCTTTTCTCTTACAATTTCCACAATTCTGTTACTTTAATTTTTGATAACATTATTATAATGTGTCTCAGTGAAGCCTTCATTGAATCTGTTTGGGAACTTATGAGTTTCATGTACCTGGATGACCATATTTCTCCCAGATTTGGGATGTTTCCAGGCATTATTTCTTTAAATAATCTTTCAAGCCTTTCTTCTCTATTTTTTCATTCCAGGACTCCCATAATGTGAACATAAGTTCACTTGATGAAGTCCTCTAAGTCACACAGACTTTCTTCGCTTTTTTTTCATTCTCCCCTGGATAATTTCAAATGACCCATGTTCAAGTTCGCAGATCAAGTCTGGTATTGATGCCCTGTATTGCAGTTTTTATTTAATTCATTACAATCTTCATCTTAAAGATTTTAAAAATGATTTTTATCACTCTGTTGAGCTTCTTGTTTGTTCTTGATTGTTTTCCTGATTTCATTGAGTGGCCTGTCTGTGTTCTGCTGTAACTTGCAGTGCTTTCCATAAACAACTATTTTGTATTCTTTGTTCAGCAATATGTAAATCTCCATTTCTTTGGCATGAGTTACTGAAAAATTATTGTGTTCTTTTGGTTGCATCAAGTTTCCTTATTTTTGTTGTTATTAGTAACTTCACATTTCTGTATGCATTTGAAGGGCAGTCACATATTCCAGATTTTAAGGACTGGTTTTGTTGGAGAAAGATCTTCTCCTATTTGTGGGTGTGAGGACACTAGCTGGGTGAGATGTGCTAGTTCTGATCGAGCAGTGTAGTCTCCATGAAGCTCAGCCAGCTGAGCTCAGCACTGGGGAGGATTGAAGGGGTCCTCAGTGACTAAGGCTGCAGGTATCTGCAGTAGTAAATGAGGGTTACTGGGGATTTTAGTGACAAAGTCTGCTGAGGACCTCCTGTTTCCTTTTCTTCTGTGTGTGATTGTGTGGCCAAGGGGATCCCTACTGACACTGGGATTGGCTCACAGGCACCCTTGTAGTGGTGGTGATGACACTAGTGACTGTTGTGTGGAGCATTCAGAGTGGCCATGGAGTTCGGTCTGATCATAGGTACTTGAGCAGAGACAGCAGCTCTGTTGTCCTGGATGCTAGCTATCCTGTAGCCATGGTGGTTGTGCTGCCTGAGATATGGGCACAAGCTCTATCAGAGAGCCAGGTAATGGTGCACATGGAGTGGGTATGGCTCTGGGGTCTAGGTGGTGCACCGAGTTGGCAGGTGGGCTGGCAGCCCTGGTCCCAGTAAGGTGCAACTCAGCTCCTTCTGAGGTGGGGGCACACCAGTGTCTCCCTCTCTTGGGGTTCCACAGCAGCAATGACTTCTGGTCACCTTAGTGTCCAAAGCTGCTGGCATCCTCTGTGAAGCAGATCGCTGGGATCTGTGTCAGCTAGCACTTTGGGGATCTCCACTGTGAAAGTTGTAGAGGTTGTGGTTTGTGGGCTCATCAGAGTTGGTCATTATGTGCATTTTCTTTGGGAGAACTGAAAAGTTAGGACCATCAATAACCATTAGGGCCGCATGAATGGTAAATCCCCCAGACTTGGAGCTGCCCTGGAGCCCTTCGTCATAATCTGCTTCTTGTAGGGCCTGGTGCCTGTGGAGGCATCATCACAGATCAATCAGGAAGGATCATAAATTCGGTCAGTCCCAAAATTTCTTGTGTCTGGACCATCATGATGAAGCCAAGAGAGAGAGTCCACTTGACATTTCCAGCCGTCAAGTGAGTACTTAGGACATAATTTTCTTTGATGATGTAATTTCATGGGAAAAGCTCTTTTTGGCCTTCAGTGATTCACCCTTCACCTACCCCAGAGGCATCTAAAAAAATTGACTCTTTTACTCTCCACTAAAAATGCTTCAGTGCCTCCCTGTCTTCTGGATAAACTGTTTGCAAAATCCTCATGATGGGCTCCTGAAGACTCACCCCACCCCCAAATTTTTTTTGTCCTTTTGAAAGATTGTTTTGGATCTGATCATCCTTGGCACCAAGGAAGGACTCAGACTGGGTCAAAAGCAAACTAGTATTAAGGTTCCAGCATGTGTGAGGTACTGAGATGTCCCACACATGGTCTTCTTATACCCAAAGAGGCTCTACTCTCTGTCCTTGTGAGCATGACACGCTGGTGGCTAAGTAAGGATAAGGGGTAGGGGATAATGTCTTGAAAAGTATGGGGAGAAAGAAGTGGGGATACTTCCATGACTGAGAGCACCCCATGTGCAGTTTGTTTTACATTAGTTGAAATTGGACACCCCTCTCTCCTCTCTTCTGACGTAAGGAGGGTAAGCTTTGGCTGTCAGGGCCGTACCCCACTTCCCTACCCCATCCTACAGAGGAGGGGAGGCAGACACTGAGGAGGGACATCCACACGTTCGTGTCTGGGCCTGTCACCCTGGCATAGCTGCCTTGGCAAAAGGAAACACAGCACCTCGTTGACTATATTTCGACTCTTGTGGGGGCCTGAAACCCAGCTGATGTCTGAGATAAAAATTCCTTCATTGGTTTTTCAGAACCATAGGCAGGACTCCCTGGGTGACCCAGAAGACACCTCCTGCCCAGATGGAGGGTAAGGCCTTCCAGGGAGGAGAGACGGTCCTGGGGTGGCTGTTGTCTTTTCAGTGGAACTGGTGAACTTTCCTTCCCTTGTCTTCATCCGGCCTTGGACTTCTCATGAGCAAGGCTGGTGCCATCTGGTGTCCAGTCATTGGTGGAGAGAGACCGTCTGCTGAAGAAACAGTGATTCCAAACACTAATCCCTGCCTTTCTCCTTCCCCCATAGCCTCACCTGTGCGAGCGAGCAGGTGGAAATCCTGATGGACTTCCGGGTCCAATTTCCTTGGGAAAGTTTGTCCAGGATTCTCTCCAGTCTACTGACCATCTTCCAACATCATGACCGTCCAGTATCCTACAGATTCCAGCAAGCCGCCCAATTTCTTTGATGCATATTACTATGGTGATCTAGAAGGTAAGTGAGAGAGGATCCTTTGATGTCCCTCTCTCCTGGCTTTGTGACATGCTGTGCATGTGGCTGCACATGTGACTATTTAAATAAAGTTCAGTCATCACTCAGTTGGAAATTTACTGAGTGAGAGGGAGTCAGTGGGACCCTATGACCCTCTCCCAAAACATTCATAGGTCCTGTCATTACAGATACGTTCTCTCTCAGCATTTCTACATGCCCAGACGCAGTATCTTTCCAAGTTGTTTCTTCATCCAAATATCGGGGCATATACACCTCAGCAAAAGAATCTTCTCCCTCTATTGATATCATTATATGTCATTTAGCATTTTTTTATTTATTTTTCCTGTGTGCCTAGTATATTTAATGCATTATATATATGTATATATATTGTATTATAAAATTACATGCATTAAATATTATAATATATAAAACATAATATACAATATGTAAATATATATTACATAACTATATAATGTATTATACATGTATATGTTGTATATGTACACATAGGTGTATCTGCTTCTACATGTAACTGTATTTATACATGTGTGCATATTTATAATATATCAGTATATGTTAACAGCACACAATAAGCATGTGACTTAGTATTGCAGTTCCAGAAACTCTATGTTCCCAGAGAATCCTTGAGATTGAATAATATGATACTGTCGGCAGAGTCCTGGCTTCTGGTCAGCATGTTCAGGGTCTTTGATTAAAGAGTCCAGCTGACCTCTGGCCAGAAGGAGCCCGAGGGGAAACAGTGCCAGTGTTCTACTCCCTCTCCTGACGCCTGCTCACCACATGGCTTTAGATAAGTCATTTCACCCATTTTGACTTCGGTTTGCTCATTTATAAACTGAGGATAGAAATGATGTAGCAAAGCAATTCGGTACATAATAATGGGAACAGCCAGTACTTACCAGACTCCAGGGACTCCTCTGAAAACTTTGGGGAGGTTATGAAATTTCATCTTAACAAGTTCTATGTATCTAGGCTTGGTCCCCACAAGGCTCACAGAGAGCAAATAGCATGTCTAAAGCCATTCCCCTCTAATGTCTACAAGGACTGTGACCCGGGGCCCTCTGATTCCTCAGCTGTGCTGGGCACACTCCATCACAGCGTGAGGATCAGCCCCAGGGCATGCCCACTGTGGGAGGCCAAGTGATTCTCGCCAGGTTTCCTGGAGGATCTAACTTGGGTCCCTGACGTGGTCAAACTTCCTTTTAAATGGTTAATCTTTCTTTCTTGAAGCATATTCAAATGGTTTACTCCAGCATCAAACTGATCATTGGTCTTGTCACAGAACTGACCGGAGATGTGCAGGTCAGAGTTAGGATGGCCACCTGTCCTGTTTACCAAGGACAGAGAGGCGTCCTGACACCGTGGCGCTCAGTGCTGTAAGTGGGAAATGCCAGGCGGCTGGATGAGTGGCCACTCAGGTCAGAGCTGACCTTTCTGGCTCTAGCTCCAGAGGGGGACCAGTGCACCTCAGTCTAATGGAGCTGGGGGAAAGGAGGGAGAAGCACTGAGTGAGTTCTTCTTTGCATGCCGAGGGCAGACCCTTCATTCTGCTCTGCCCTGGGTGACCAGGCCTGTCCCCGGGGCAGGGACAGCAGCGCACTTCACGCTCAGCACTGCCCCTGGACACTCAGCTGCTGTGTGCAGGGCCGTGTGCCTTCCATTCCTGTATTTTGAGTCATCAGTTTCCTTTCATTTTTCTGTTTTGGTGTCTTTTCAGCCACACTGGTTTCTACTGAACAACCAGAGGGCACATGAACACACAGCATTATTTCCCTCCCCTCCCCACCTAGGATTGTACTCCGGGGCTGGAGTCCCAGTGGCTTCTGCACATGGGAATGAAGTGTGCCAGGGACACGGTCTTGGCCAAGAGAACTTGGAGTGACTGAACCTGACAGTTTACTTGAGCCATAGCAGTCCCTTAACCCTCTCCCCTGCCTCTGGGTCCTCTCCCAGCCACTGCCCTTCCTCTGCAGCCCAGGCAGCCTCCTGGGGCCTCCTGTGTGCCCAGCCTCCCCAGGCAGGGGAGGGAGCCGCCTCCCACCAGCTTCAGGATGGATGCCCCTCCAGAAGGCCCGAGACTGCATCACCGAGGGCGTCACATGTCAGTGTCAGGGAAGGATGCCGCATGAGGATGACACCATTGATGGATTTATTTGTTCAAGGAGAGGAAAAAGTTTCCTCAGCCCTCCCAGGGTCCCTGACTGGGTCTGAAAATTAAACTGATAAAGACATAGTAACAGGAGAAAAGTATTCAAATGTTTATTTTTCACAGGTACACAGAAAACCCACATTTTTTTGTGGAATCATCAGACTTAGGTGGCCTGTGTTGTTCCCCTGGAACTTTGGCAAGTTTGGAGAACCAAGAACAGTTTGGGCCCCAAGAACAGCACAGTACCCCCCAGGTCTGGGCTGCGTGTACAGCCTCCAGGCCCCTTCTTTCTGTTTGCAGAGTCTGGGGAATGTGGGAGCCTCTTCACAGGCCTGTCCAGCGATACCATCAGCTCTCTCGGGACTGACACTGCCTGTATCTGGACCATCCTCCTGAAGCCAACCCGGGAAGCTTTGCTGGGATTTCCCTTCCTCGAGGGAGTGCTCACGATGTGAGCTTCCTTTCTGAGGTTACTGTAGTTTTCTGGGAAGGAATCGGGATGGCCTCTTCCAGCTCATCCTCCACCATTCAAGACAGGCATCTGAACATGATCCAGCCCCATTTCCACGCTCGGTTGAAAACCCTGCGGGGGCTCCATGCCTTTGGAGAGAGTTTACTCCCCATAGCATAGGTTTTGAATTCTTTCATCATCTGGCTTCTGGTGTCCCCTCCCTCTGACCACCTCCCCCGTCTCTGCTGAGCCACACATGCTGAGTCTGGACACCCCAGACCTTCCGGCATCTCCGTGCCTTTGCTCGCACTTTCCCCTCTGCCTCTGACCTTCGCCACACTCACCTGCCCTCCAAGTGGGGTCCTCCATGAGTATTTCTGGATTCAGCCCAACGGCTCACTTTTTCATAAAGTCCCCTGACTTTCTCCCAGATGCTCGGATCTCTCCTTTTGTCGGCTACCAGGTATCCCGTGCAAATCTCAAGCTGGTCCTTAAAGCATAAAAAAGTAGCACATCCTTGCTGATGCTTTTGCTTTTGTCCTACGATAACAGGAACTCATTCGGGGTAAAGAGATATTTTTTGAATGAATGACTCAATGAATGGATGAAAAAATGAATGAAGGTAATGATAGGGCAACAGAAGGCATTTCCAGCACATCATTAACGCAGAGCGTTTTTATTCCTGAACATTCTTCACAGGTTTTGACATGGGAGCCATATTTCCATCAATTTCAGATGAAACCAATGCAGCCCACGGTGGCGGATGAGACCTGATGTGATCTGTGTGACTAAGGGCCCTGCCCCTGCAGACCTGCTGAGTGATAGGGACCACCTGTAGGTTATGTAGGTTCTTTCTGGAACCTTAGAGACAAGAATAGGGTTTGCATCATTTTAGCAAACTTGCTCCATGCTTTTGAAAAAGGAAGTGTACTGAGATCAGGTTTGGGACACAAAGAAAGAGGGGAGGTAAGGAGAGAGCCAGGGATGACAGAGCTTTTTGCATCACCACTTCACCAGGGACCAAAAGAAAAGCCAGTTTTGAAATGTCCCTATATTAGTCCTTTGTCCTTGTCAAAGATTGCTGCTGAACCTGCCTGTCCTTGGCACTGAGGAAGGACTCAGGTTGGGCCAAGAGCAACCTGATATAAAGGGTGCTAGCGGTGTGTCCTGGGGTCCTCCCCTTGTCATGCTGGACCGTGAGAGTCTCTGGCCTCTCTCCTGTGAGCATGGGACCTACTGGTCGCTAAGTAAGGGAGAGGAATGAGAAATGCTGTGTTGAAGGGTCTATGGTCTGCACGGAAGGACAAAGACGAGGGAGCCATCACCGGGAGTATGACAGCCTCGTGTTCATGTTGCCCTACAGTGGGAAGGGTTGGACGCCCCTGGCACCTCTGCCCTGGGTCAGAGAGGGCGAGTGGTGGCTGCCGGGTGGCCCCATCTGCCAGAGGAAGAGGAGGCTGAAACACGGAACAGCACCCACACACTCAGGTGTGGGGCTTCTCACTCTGACACTGAGGTGGGGGCCCCATGAAACTCCCAACTGTGTCGGCTTTGTTTTGATACTTGTAAAGGCCCGAAACACAGCTGGCATCTGAGATTAAAATTTCTGCTTCAGCAACTCAGACACATAGGAAGGGCTCCCTGGAAGACCTTGACGGCACCTGCAGCCCAGGTGGAGGGAGGACTCCAGGAGTTGGGAAGTGTGGGGAGACCGTCATCGGTCAGAACTGAATGGCCTCCCTTCCGTGTCCTCATGTGGATTTTCCCCTCTCACAAGCGTGGCTGTGCTTGTCTGATGTCCACCCACTGGTGCTGGGCAGCTGCCTGGTGGAAAGAATGCAATTCCAAACACTGATGCCTGCCTTTTCCTCTGTCAACAGCCTCGCCTGCCAGAATGAGCAGGTGCAAGTCCTTGATGGACCCAGTTCCCTTGGGATCATTTGTCAAGTCATGTCTGTCTTCTACTGACTCTTTTCCAACTACTTAACCATGACATTCTCCAGAAACGCCGGTTGCCAGTCTGCACTCTTTGATGCCCACTACTAGATTCCCAAGGTAGGTGGAGCAGGGGTTCCTTCTGAGTCCCTTTTCCTCTTGTTTGAATATTTGCTTGGAGATTTATAGGTGTCCTAAAGCTCATGGACATTTTTGGAGAAGAAAGCAGCTCCTGGTCTTTGGGTACTGCTCCTGTTCTGGTCCCACGTCTGCCGTGTCCCCTTGTGGTCACAGCACACAGCACAGTAGCACGGTGTGCAGTTTTGACTGTGAGGTCCCCAAAAACACCTGAAATTGAATGATATCAGCTAAGTCCTGGCTTCCATTCAGTGTGTTTCTGGTCTTCAGGTACAAAGGATCCAGTCAAACGCAGGCCAAATGGAGCCAGAGATGTAAAAATAACAACTTCTAGTCTCAGTTCTTACACAGAATTTTCAAGTGCACGTAGGTAATTACTTTCATCTTTGTTGAATTTGGTTACCTCATTTAGAATTAGGGGATAGAACAAGAGAACATTAAATAGACAATGATGATGACAACCAGGTAATACTTTTCAGCACTTAACGATATTCAAGGTATTTCTCTGGGTACCTTGGACAGCTCATCAATGTCCTCTTAAAAGAATTCTACGTCATTAGTGTTGCGATATCCATCTTACAGATGAGAAACCTGAGGTAGAGAGGGTGAATAACTTGGTCAAAGCCATCCATTGAATGCCCTCAGGGACTGTGGCTCACACTCGTCTGATTCTGAGGCTGTTGTGAGTTAGGTCGGGAAAGCAATCCAGAGTGTCCTGCCAACTGCGGGAGGCCCTGTGATTGCAGTAAGAACTCCTGGATCCAAGCACCTAACTCGGGTGCCTGAAATGGTGAAATATCTAAACATTAAGATGCCTCATATCTCCTCGCTGGAAAATTTCATTCAATTGGTTTACTCCACCAACAAATTGATCATCAATCTTATTACAGAATTTACAACAAAAGCAATGTATAGGTCAGAGTTAGAATGATCAACTTTCCTAGTTTAGCCAGGAATGAGGTCCTGGGACACAGGTCTTTCAGTGCTGAACCAGGTCAATTCCTGGTCATTTTGGGACCAGCTGGTAACCCTGGTCAGAGCTGACTTTTCTCACTGTGGCTCCTGAGTAGAAACATTGTAATTTAATTGAGTGGAATCAAGAAAAAAGAAGGCAGGAATGAGTTAGTCTTTGCATGCTGAGGGCAGACCTTTGTTCTGCTCTGCCCTGTGTGCCCAGGCTTGTCCCCGGGGTGGGGACAGAAGTGCTCTCTCCTATTCCTGCTCAGCACCACCCCTGGCCACTCAGCTGCTCTTCACAGAGGAGTGGGTTTTCCATTTCCATACTTTGACCCATAAATATAACTTCCAACTTTTCATTTTGTTTTTCTGTTCTGATGTCTTTCAGATGTAATCGAATCACCAAGGATAAGAGGTAAGTGTGAGCGATGTTATTTCACTTCTCCTTCTCCTTACATAGAGAATATATGTTCTGTGGTTGGGGTCTGAATGACTCACCTGGAATCACATGTACTAGGGACATGTTGTATTCATGTGCCAGGGACAAGTTCTTGCCCAAAGGACCAAAGTGTTTCTGAGACTGACAATCTACTTCAGCCCTAGCAAACCTTGACCTGTCAAGGCTGCCTCCTGGTCCCCTCCTACCCATTACCTCCCCCCGAGCCCTCTGGGGCCCCCTGTGTGCACAGCCTCAGCAGGCAGCGGAAGGAGCCGCATCCTGCCAGCATGTGTCCCACAGGACGGAGCCACCTCCAGATGGCTGGAGCTACAGAGCTGAGGGTGCCACCATCTCAGTGTCAGGAATGAGAGCATCCAGGGGACAGGGAAGGATGCAGCCATAAGGAGGCAGGTGGAGGGAAGAAGGGTCTCCTGGGGATGCAGGCCACTGTTGATTGATCCATTCACTCATTATTGAGTGATTATGAGGTGTCAGATACAGATTGAGTTATTTACAAAAAAATTATTTGGATCCTCGTACACCCCAAGGAAGGTGTAGCAGATCTTTCTGCTCTTCCCTACATGTGATCAGGCTTCTCTCCTGTCTGTGTCCAGAACCATTCTCTGGCACTCAAGTTCTGCCTCCCAGCATGCTCTGCATTTCCCATTTTTGTGCCTTGATGCATCAGTAACTTCCAGGCTTTCATTTTGCTTTTCTGTCTAGGCAACTTTTCAGCAGCCATTCGCATACCTGGGAGGAGAAAAGGTAAGCGTGGGCAATATTATTTCACCTTTCTCTCTCCTCATAGAGGGATTCTGTGCTTTTGGGTGAAATGCGAATGGCTTGCTGGGAACTGCACACGCCTATGAGACATTTGGTGCCGAAACAATGTCATAAGTACCTTGCTGTTCTCTTCAGCCTTCACAATCCATAAATCCTCCTTTCTTGTAGATTTCCTGAGTTTCCCTCCCTGTTCTCCTGCCCCCTCCACCATCACCTCCTCTGCAGCCCAGGCAGCTTCCTGGGGCCTCGGGTGTGCACAGCCTCACCAGGCAGGGGAGGGAGCTGCCTCCCATGGACGATTGTCCCACAGGATGGCACCGCCTCCAGATGGCTGGGACCTGCAGAACTGAGAGTCACCCACCGTCTCAGTGTCAGAAATGAGAGCACTGGGGGGACGCAGCTTGAGGGGGGTGGGCTGGAGGGAAGAAGGGTTTCCTCATCATACAGGCAACTTCATGTTTTTATTTACCTGATGCTTAAAATGTGCAATGTATGGAGTAAGCACTTTACCTACCTGGCCGCCGCTGACTCTAGAACACCCCTACAGCAGGCGTTTCTTATCCTGATAATGGTGAACATCACTCAAGCCCTGTGATTCTGGGAAACACGAAGGTTCTGACCGCCCCTGCTCCTTACCGGACCCTCTGTGTCCTAGGGACTTCTTACCACAAAGACCTCCTTTCCCCAAACAACTTAGAGGAGACCGACATATGACCCCTTGTTCTTCTAGGCAACCCCAGACAGTCCCTGAAATTCTTCATCTTTCCTCATCAGTGATTAGCTGAACTGTTTTTCTCCATGTGTCAGTAGAAATATTTGTAAATGGATTTAAATAAACTCGAGTTTAGCAGCCCTTCTCCCCACAGGATGGGACAGACTGCCTCAACACCAATGGCAAACAAGCATCGCAAAGCAGAGCAAACTTCTGGAATCTGCTGACCACAAGGAGAGACATTCCTCATCAGCTGATCACAGCTGCTCAACCTGTGCCTACCCTCCATCCTTCGGAGCCTTCTGCCCTCCTCCCTGTAAGGGAAAATTCCTTTCTCCTGACCTGTGAGATCCTTGCCGATCTTGTGATCACAGCATTCTACTTATTACTATAATCAGTTTGAATAAAGTCTCTCTTCACCTAAACTGCATTGTCTTACATTTGAAAACCCTCATTTCACAGTGCAGGAGACTCAGGCATCCCTTGGAGTGATGGGAACAACTTTGGATGGCGTTTAAGATAAGATACAGTCTCCTCTGGGCACATCTAGGGCACGAGAGCTGCCTACTTGCTCTTTCTATTGAGCACGAGGAAAAGCTACAGACACACAAATGAGCCCCTGGGCTGGGTTTCTCCTGCGCTCTGGCAATGGGGTTGAAGATTAAGAATATTTTGGTGAGAATGGGTTACTGTTTTGTTCCTCACTAGCCAGGACCAAATTATGCTACAGTGAGGGGATGAGTCTCCTAAAAGCTTCCAAAAAGAGTAACACAGCTGGTAAGAGACACAGAGTCAGCATTTCCTGACCAGTGTGGCCAGAGACTAGCGCCAGATTGCCAGTGGACAGATGCAAGGGCTCAGCCGGGAAGGAATGCCTGAGGCTGCTTCTGGAAGCCAGCATCTTCAGTCTTATGTTTGTCCATGGGAGACTGAGACCAGAGTAAACTCTCTGAGGTCTGGTGAGTCTTCATGTCTGGGTAAGAAGGCCCCCACTGGGCATAGAGCAGTGGTGGAAAAAGCCGCATATCCTGCCAGAACAGTTTCTGCAGAAAAGAGAATGAGGACAGGTTATGTTCAAGGGGAAAAGCCCAGGGAGGGAAGGAAGTCCTCAGCCAGGAGGCTGGGGACTCGCGGGCCACACGTGTGTGGGGCAGGGCACCTGTGAGAAGGAAAAGGAAGGTCGGTCCAAAGCACAGACGTGCCCCAGCTGAAATCAAGGCCAGAGAGGCTCTGGGCAACACACCTGGGCTATGCTGCCATGGGCCCTCTGAGTGACACCCCTGTGCCTCTGTCTCCCTCCCCCCTGTCGGTTCTCCCAGTCCCCCAGGCCACCCCGCACTGCCTGCCTCAGTGTGCAGAAGGGTGAAAGCTGCTACCACTCCCGGGACAGTCAGATGTCGTCACATCAACCCTCCCCACAAACTGCCATCAGTTACCCTCAGCAATGGCCATGACCGTATCGTCACCCCTGAGGTGTGAGGATTCTGGGGCTGTAGGTGAAGGCCTGGGGTTTCTCCCTGGGGGTACACTGTGGTCTGTCACTGCCCCAGCCAGCTGGGGAGCATGCATCAGCCACCTGCCATCCCACACCCTCCCCTGATCTCCGTGCTGTTTAAGGCACTTCAGGGTAAACTGTTGATCCATGAATTCCTCTCTCCTTAGATGCTGGCAGGACCCAACCTAACCTACCAATCAAGGTGGGGGATTTCCCACCACATCCCTCAAAGGTGCTGCCCGTGAGAAGGAGGACCCAGGGGAGATGGGGGAGCGGGTGCAGGGGAGGGGGGAGGTCCCTGTAGGAAAGGAGCAGTGCCATTGTTTCTGTCCTCAGGAACGGTGCCCTGCTTCTGACCCAGTGGGGGGCCTCCCTGGGCTGCCTGCCCTCCCTGGGCAGGTGGGGTGGGAGGACAGCATGGCCTCACAGCCCATGAGCCCTCCGAGTCTCAGCGCAGAGCAGAACTGCATCGCCTCTCTGCGGAGACAGCCTGCAGTGGTGCCTCCCGGTCCTCACCGGCTTGCCTCCCTCTCCACCCCAGCAAAGCCTCTGAGACCTCACCCCAATGTCCCGTCTTCATCCTCGCTCGGCCACAGGAGAGGGACTGGTGGCAAACACAGCAGCAGCAAGGGGACATCCAGTGGAACCCCTGGGGACCTTCTCTGCCAGCTTCACCCGGCCCAGCCTCCGGTCTTCTTGGGTGACAGTGTGAGCCAACAGTCTTTGAAAAGGGCAAAGGGACAGCGTGCAGACGTTTTTGGAGCAGCCCGTCTGTCTGAAGCCTTGTCGGTGATGACATGGGAACTGCCCGGCTCCTTCATGCTCAACCTCCTGCTCTGTGTTTCCCAGGAACGATCCATGACCAGACGGCCTTTTCCACATTTGCCAAAGGAAACGTACAGCAGGTGGTTTAAGCCCTGTTTGTGAGGCACCGTCTCCGAGGCGCCCTTCGCCCTAGAGGCCACCTGAGTTACCAGGGGGAGGTCTGGGCCCCTCCGCAGGTCCTCGGGGACTGGGGCCCTCAGAAGCACAGATCACATCATCTGCCTCACCCTCCCAGGGGTTGAGTCTGGAACTGAGGAGCTGTGGCCCCACCTTAACGTCAGTGAAGATGGCCCTGGAGAGAAATGTGGGCACTGGCTGGCTCAGCCCAGGAGACATGGGCAGAAAAGAGGGTGGAGCAAGGGTCAGGCCAGACCTGAAGGCATTCTCAGCCACCCTGAGGCACGCAGATTTTATGGGGAAGGCAGGGAGTCCTGCAGGGGGTGTGTGGGGAGTAGACATGAATCAGATGGGGTTCAGTAGGTAGGGGCAGGGGGAGCTGGAAGAGACCGAGGTGGGCCCCTTCTGGGACCTACGGTCACATCGGCACGGAAGAATCATCCCGCCCTGAGCTCAGATGGGGGAAAGGAAACCCCCGCTGACTTGCTGGGGTGGCTTCGGCGCAAGGGTCCAGATACAGAAGTGTGCTTCCCAGGGAGTTAATGACTCTGTCCAGGCCTGTGGGGAGGCCCCCACGGTCCCCAGACTCTCCACACAGGAGGTGGGGACAGGCAGGTTCCGGCAGCCCTGGGCCCCACAGGGGCTGTGCTGTCCAGCAGCCCAGATCCTTTATGATCGCCCTCACTTCCTGGTCATCTGGAAGCAGGTGACATCAGCCCAGGTCTGATGACCCCCCCCATCAGCACGGGGGCTTGTCTGCGTTACTCTTTTCATTAGCTTTTAGGAGACTCATCCCCTCATATAGTCATCTGTTCCCGGCTAGTGAGGAACAGAAGAACAGTAACCCATCCTCACCCGAAATATTCGTAATCATCAACCCCATTGCCAGAGTTCAGCAGAAACCCAGCCCAGCGTCTCGTTTGTGTGTCTATAGCCTTTCCTTGTGCCCAACAGAAAGAGCAAGTAGATATGCCCAGACAAAGGAGACTCCATTCTATCTCAAATGCCAACCAAAGTTGTCCCCATCACTATAAGGGCTGCCTGAGGCCTTGTGCTATGAAATGAGGATTCTCAAATTTAAGACAATGCAATTTAGGTAAAGAGAGACTTTATTCAAACTGATTGTAGTAATAAGTAGAATGCTGCGACCACTAGATTGGCAAGGATCTCACAGGTCAGGAGAAAGGAATTTACCCTGGTAGGGAGGAGGGCAGAAGGCTTGGGAGGATGGAGGGTAGGCACTGGCTAAACATCTGTGATCAGACAGTTAATCAGGAATGTCTCTCCTCATGGTCAGAAGATTCCAGAAGGGTCTTCAAGGCAAGTTTTTCTACTCGGCAATACTTATTCATCATTGGTGGTCTAGGAGAGATGAGAATCCTGTGGGGAGGAAGGCAGCTAACACTAGAGTTTGTGTAAGTCAATTCAATGAGCTTATTCTTCCTATTGACAGGAGAGGAAAAACAGTTAAGCTAATCATCAATGAGAAAAGAGAAGGGATTTGTCTGCTTTGTTGTAGGTTATGTATAATAATACATATACATATATACATAATATACATGTGTGCTTATATGTATATTTGCATATATGTATATATACGAATAAATACTTTTTACATATTTGGGTACTTACACATATATACATAGGCATATACATATACATATTTGTATGCATAGATACATACATAAATATGCACATGATATACATATATACATGTGAGTATGTATAATTGTGTGCATATTTATTCATATAACATGGATAATATAACTTCTGTAGAGTATATACTAACCATATCACATACCTAAGTATACTAGAAAATGCCAAAGGGATGATCATAAGATCAATAAATAGAAATGTTATGAGAGACATGTGGTAAACAATCAAGATGACAGATACAATTTTAAAATGGGGA